TCGAGTGTTGTATCGAAATGAGTGAAAACCGCCAAACAATGCATTAATGCTTGCAATCCATCCAATCATATGAGACGCGCACGAAATGAACCTAAGCTTCCCATCTCTAACCCACGGCTCAACACTTTGCGTGTATTTCATCGACTGGTCTTTGCTTAACACCATTTCCATGCCATCTCTTACCAGACAATTAATACTGATTTATCACTTCTAGATATACACTCTTTATTTGCAATTAGTTTTATTTTTCGTATGATTTTATTTTAAAGTGTATTTAAATTTTGATACTTTTAATTCTTGGCCATATGTTTTCTGTGATTGCATTTCTGGCAACTATTATGTAATTAAAATGTTTTGGGAATAAATATTTAAATGATGTCATATTAATGGCAGAATTAAGACTTAATATGTTAATTAAAGGCCAATAAAATGATTGAAAACTGGTTTTACCTTAAAATTAGCGATAATAAGGGGTTTGGAGTTCAAGTTCAGTGACAAAAAATGACTTCTATGCTAATTAATGACAAATGGATTTAAAAACTTTTATTTTTATAATATAAAAAATAAAACAAATAGTTATTTACATTAAAAAAGAAGAATTTGGGTTAAAGAATATGATAGTGAGGCAGAGATTTAGCACTGTTTTCATAGAGCGGTTATAGCGTTATTATGAGCGCATTTTTGCTGACTTAACGGTAATATAATTCCGTAAAATATTTTCTGTATTAATATTTAGCGAGAATTGAGATGTTTTTACAAAATGCTTATATTTTAGTCAATTTTCTAATTGTAAATAACTTTTCGCTTCAATATTAACATCACATTAAGTGATGTGTTTTTCAATGGTTTTGACTGTTATTCGCTTAAAAGCGTTAGACGTTTAAAATAGATAAAAATAATATCGTTTTTTTGCTGTAAAAATTGACGATAAATATATAGTTCATTGAACTAAAGAATATTAATTATTATATATGACTACATTTGTATTCGTATATATTTTAAACTTTTAATAATTATATACTTAAGTTAACATTCTGTGGCAAAATAAATGTTAATATTATTCTTACCGTAAATATAATGAGTATAAACTATTGTGTTGAGAGTTGGGCTGTAATTCTGGGTCTATTTCAAGAGTTTGTGCGTAAAAATTGTTTTTTGTTGAGAAACTAATTTGTTATACCAATGTTTAGCGTATATAGAAGTTAACAAACAAATTGCCAAAGAATTTTGTTTTAATTTTTATTTTTAACCGTTTTATATATGTTTATTCATTTGCCAAATCATTCATTACTCCTAATTACTAGCGTCTCAGCGATGAACAAAGACATTGATTATAAATTTTTCTACACTTACGGTTGTATTACACAATGTATTCTCGGTTAAAACAATCATGATCATTTCCTGTATAGCCAATATTAGCACATTTTGGTATCCATTGGGTTTGTTTTATCAAAAACTTACCATAAAGTTATCCATTAATAACTTAAACACCGATAATAATAATAAAGCAAATAAAATACACACAGAAAACAAACAATCAATTAAATATCTTTATTTTTTCTGAAGCGTTGAAAACATATGCAACAAATTGTAGTTTATTTGAATATATTATAGAATTTATATATAAATTAAATGAAAAATAATAATAATAACTTAGAACTAACTGAATATATAATTATTGTTTAAAAACAAACAAACATATGAATTGATACTACAATACAATATAATATATAAATTAAAAATGATTTCATAATAATTTATACGAAACATATTATTCACGCAATCATTAAAATCATATGAAAAATTTAAAAATCAAATTCGGTATTCAATAAGCAATGAAACGATCAGTTGAGTTGAATTGAGATAGAGATGGTATGCATTTTTAATAGCATATAACTTATGGCTTTACTATAAATTAATCTTATGATAAGATTTATTTTTTTTATTGCAGAAAATCATTTGGTATTAGTTTATACCCCAAAACACAGTTCCTGTCTTCTTCTCAATACAATATAAGTTAATCATAATTACATTATTTCCCAAAACAATACGTTAAACAACAATAAATTATACAGTATATGAACTCAACAACAAAAAGCTTACTTTACTTTAACACAAATACAGTATTTTCTGAAAATAATTTAAATAAAAAAATAAAAAATAAGAAACGAGAAGAAAAATGAAGACTTGAGTTCATATAATGTTTAACATAAATACATGACTGGACTCCGCGACCACTTTAGTGCTCATTGAATGAAAAACTTGGTTTCAGTGATTGGCTCCACCGTTAACAACATGTATGTGAAGATCAGCAGTTGTAGGGATCAACTAATACCAAACTATGACATTTGGCCGGTGCTCTAAACGCACCACAGATTTCCGCTATAAATAACTCACAATTCAAACACTATTCGGAATAAATATAATTTATAAATATATTTAAATTCATTTTTTCATATTCTTGTTGAATAAAAGCGATAAAAACCATTTGTTTGGATAATATTTTATAAAATTTAAAATTAAAACTCAATAATAAAGAGAAAAGTGTTTAGATTTACATTTAAATCGATTGTCAAAATCTATCGCCCGTTTGAATGACTCCTCTCTTCGGCATTATTTGTGGGCGAAGTCACAGACTTATTGGACTCGACGTCAGACTTATTATTATTTGTATTCATATTTGTTTCGTCTTCTAATTCAGTGTTATTTTCACATTTGATTTCAGTCTTCAACTCATCATTACTTTTAGAACTATTCCTACTATGGCTTCGACTACGGCTTCGACTCTGACTTCGCGACCGACTCTTGCTTTTTGATCGATACCGAGAACGAGAGGTTCGCTTCTTTGATCGACTTTTACTTCCGCTTCGACTTCTTCCGTGTCTTCCGTCAGACTTTCGTCGGTCTCTGAAATGCAAAGCATTGAAAATCAATCAATAAAATAGAGTCAAATCAATTGATGGGTCAAATGGGAGACACAGACCTCGATCGGGATCGGGTTCGCGAGCGCCGGCGCCTCGAGAAGCGGTCGCTATAGGATGAGCGCCGATACGAACGGCCACTTCCGGTGCCATTCCTCCGCATGTCTGAGCTATAATGAGTGCGTTTAGAGGACACGTGTTTGTCGTGTTTGGAGTTGGGTCGCGCATATCTGGCCATTTGTATGCTTAATATACGTCCGTCCAATCGCTCGCCATTCATCGCCCGCATCGCCTCTTCGGCGTCTCGTTTGCGATAATAGCGGACAAAAGCGAAGCCACGGCTGGCGAACGTATCGGGATATCGCGGCACATATATGTCGCCCAAATCGCCGAACTTGGAGAACACCTTCTTCAGCAAATTAACACCAGTTCTTTGGGTGATATTATCCACTTTCAAAGACACCATTCCCTCGATTTTGGGCGGTCCGTGACCTCGAGTGTTAAACTCGGATCCGTCATCCCTGTTGCTGTCATCGTAGTCATCGGCCCGACTCTTCCGACTCGACAACTCATTAGATCTGTTCCGACGACTGGAAGGACTCGAAGACATAATCGGATATTCAATAAATATTATATATAAAAATGTGAGGTTTTTGTGTATTTTGTGGTTAAAATATATGAAACAATTACTATATAATTAAACAGCTATTAAATAATGTGTTGATTATAACGGGTGTTCACATTAAACGGCATTAATGTCTGTGTAGTGACGAAGACATTGAAGATATTCTTTGCACCAGAGATGAGATGTGTTTTTGCAATGAATGGTAAATGCAATTGCAATTCAATGTATTAGAAAAACAATATTGGTTGACAAAAATGAACAATAAATATAAGTTAACGATTCAATTAAAGCACTCAATAATTATAATAATTATTATTATTAATAATAATAACTACAAAAAACATTTGCACTTTTGATTAGCAAAACGTTTGCAACAAATATTATTTGATATCATGTAAAATATTTAGTATCCAATTGTCTGTATTGTCTGTTTTGTAACAATTTTGGCGTTCAATCCATGGCTTATGGATCTAATCACCGGACTATCACTGGTGTTGTGATGGACTGTCAAAGCGATGGTCTGTTCCTAAATACAGAGTTGTATTGCATTTTGTTGTGTATATTATTATTATTATAGCAATTGATTTTCAAACATCCAATGCATTCACCAATTGATGAGATGTGATGTACAGAAAGGAGTCGTCTCTTCAACACAAATGAGTGTTGCGTTCAATGCATTGCATTCACTATCATATGAAACACAGATACAGGGCTTAGAGTTGCTGTCCATTGAAAGCCACGTCGAAAGGCATCGCGTTTTACTGTTAGATACACAACACAAATGTGAAGCGCTTTCTATGAAACTCTAAACTCTTCTCTCAACTCTTCGCTTCAATTTTAACGCAACTTTTTTTCTTTGAGTTTACTTTTAATTACAAATTGTCGCACATTTTCATTCAGTTGCCGTCCATTTAGTAGTTTCTTAATGAAAAATTGTGTTTTCATTTCTAATAAACACGATTTGTTTTGATTTACATATGGATTGAATCGGTTTCCGCGAGTTATCATTTGGTAGAATATTGAATAAAATTACTTGAATTACTAAAAATACTGTTAAAATAAATTAGAAAATATTTAATATCTAGTTATTTATAATTAAAGATAGAGTTTTGTTGTCACGTTTAGTGTATTGAAACTCAAACCTTAGCCATCACTTCATGGGATTCTTTGATTCAAACATACATTTAAAAACATTAAATATAAAACGAGAACTATATTAAGAAATCGGAATATTTAATGAAAATTTCAGTAAATTTTTCGTATGAAAACAAAAACTTATTTTGAAAATATGTTAAAACAATTAATTAATCGATTGATAGAAAAGATAATTAAATTGAATGAAACAATCCATAGGCTGTTGTCATTCGTATTATTCCAAGTCATAACTCGATCGCAGGACCAGAGGGTTAGAGAGTCTGAAAATACTCGGAAGAATTGTTGTCAGATTTGCGAATAATTCCTGAGAAATGCCCTAAAATTGAAATAAATATACATTTGGATTACATTTGTATCAAAAAACATTTCAAAACAAACCTTCGGCACAACGAACTGAACGGTTCGGTTCTCATCGCCACCAGAAGAAAGCGATGCCATTTCAATCATAAACCCTTTCACACACTTTAGCACTAATTCCGCTCTCTTAAGACACCATTGAATGGTTATCTCTTCGGTCATCTCGTGAATCAAAAGCAGAGGAATCGTTATGTTTGAGATATCGTTCAAATGCGATGTCTTCATAATGTTTCTTAAGCCCAGAATCACGGGGTGTCTGGAGTTGATGTCCGACGAGCGCAAGGAATCGTCACAAACCAAATGAAAAACAACGTGAGCTTCAGATAGATTTGAGTGTTTGGTTATGTAGAAATCGCCCGTTTGTAACACATGGGAACAGTTCTTCTGGTTTACGATATTAGGCTTCAATTGTTCGGCCATTGCTTTCGATTCTTGCATTTGAATCTCAAGGTCTGGGAAATGAAATTCAGTTGATTTCGAGCATATTTTTGCAAAATCTGTTCAATAAAACGTGTTTTAGATATTTTTAAAAACGAGTTAAAAAAGTCAAATGAGTTCAATAACAAACCTAATTTGATTCCAGAATAACTGTTAATCCGATTGTCAACCAATAAAACCAGAGCTGAGAGAGAATTTGAATATAAAGACATCGCTGTTTGGATTCTTTGTGGAGTATTTTGACCAAAATTATGGCTAAAATTAAATATAAAAATATATTACAAAAAGTGATATAAAAAATACAATAATAAAAACCTGGGTTTCATTCGACACAAATCCAAAATATCCATTGATATTAAGCGAAGATTATGAGTAGTCTTGAGTTGAGCGCCCAAATTGATTGTAAAGCTCTCTTCCATCTGAATGTGATTATCATTTGAAGAGTTATTCCAATCGATGTCATCATATGCTGATTGACTGAATCGCTCACTCGAGTCGATCGACAGATTCTTTAGATTCGTGGCAATCGATTCCGGATTTCCATTCTTGAAGTCTTCGTACACTTTGCGAATCCATTCGTAAAATTCTTGCTTCTGTTCGTACTTTAGGTTAGATATAGTGTTATTCCACTCATCTTTCAAGCGCTCCAATTCTTCAAAGTGTTTAATCGACAGACAATTGATATTCTCTTCGCTAAGAGTGGTTCCAATGTTTTTGACGGCGTCTTCCATCTCAATGGTCTGTTGTGTGAGTAAATCGTTGTACGACTGATCGCGCGCTGAGATCAGGTCTTGTATAGCAATCAGATATAAGTTCTCAAATTTCATCAACGATTCGGTGAAGACTCCCGAATGGATCAATTCGTAGTACATATTAAAGAATTCGCTGCTTTCGTTCATATTATCAAAACTCTGATATTTAGTGTCAATTTTTGGGCACTTATTCACTATAAGTCTACAATTATTTCTGATTTCAGATTCGGACAACTTGTCTAACAATTGATCCACGCATTCGGTGTCCAGTCTATCGGTTTCGTCTTCGATGAATGCCTTTAATTTCAACAGCACTTCATTTTCGAGAAAGACTGGAATTTTATGCTTTTCTATCAATCGATGGCCTATTTCTGTGTATTTAACATTACTTTGCAGCGGAATTGATATACTTTCGGTAAAACTAATTGGATATGAGTTATCGGAACCGATAAAATCAAAGTCTTTGATCACTTGTGTGTAGAGACAGAAATCCATTATTAAATTGAAAGAAAAATATTAAAATAGCAAAAAACACTTAAATATTAGTTTTTATCAATTGATTCGTTGGAAACAATTGGTGAGTGAATAGCGTTTGAGATTTTGATCCAATCGATGGTTTGATGCAACGAATCGTTGTCTGAAGGAGTCTTATCTAAATTCCAGTGAGTTATTGACTGAAAGCATTCGTTGGCCACTAAATGGTCGTCACTTTTGTCACTCTTTTTGGTCTCGACAACAAAAGCTCTGCAATTCTGTGGCAAATCCACTGATTGGCCCACTAGTGGTCGGCCGCGGAATGAACTCAACAAAACTGTCTTTTGTTTCTCGCTTTGTCTTATCGTTGGCTCAAAGTATTTGTCGGCTTCTGTCTCGCAGTCGGCGTTCACTTTACACGGGATAGCGTGACAAATCACTTTGGGATCAGTTTTAGTATCACTCAAATCAATACACTTTAAAGACATTTCACGTAAAAGTTATCACAATAAAGGAGTTTATCAATAGTTTATCAGTCAATGAGTCAATAAAAAAAACACACAAAGAAAGTTGTGGTTAACCCCAGGCCTGGGATTTAGCGTAATATAAGACAAGTTTACCGTCGGAACCGAAACACTCCAATAGATTGCCAACTGTTTGGTCGGGAGAGGGACTGAATGTCTGGTTTACGTATAGAAACTGTCAAATAAATAAAACCATAAATGAGATGACAGTAGAGATAGATATCTTCAGATGTCTTACCAATGATTCGTTGGCTTCGAGTTTGATATACTTCTTAACGAATTCATTAATCCATCCAATGGTTCGGTTTGAGTCCACTTTCCAGTTCTTCTTTCTCATAATAGGCGCGTCTCCCGTCGCCCGAAGTAACACATCAACTGTCAGGTCATCAACACATCCATTAGACATACCATTCACACAATGCATGTCATTATCACATCCCATGCATTGTCTGCAGTGTTAATGCACTTACTTTTGTTGTCATCGCTTTGTTTAGTGTCGGATGTGGTGGCGATGTCTTCAGATGTAATGCTCGTGAGCTCTGCCATAACATACAGTCATATCATCTGTGGATCAGTTGATGGTTTGAAGTGATAAATAGTAAGAGACTTACGATTGAATGAATGGTTTAATTGCTTTAAAATGATATGAGAAATGAGTGAAACACTGATTTAGAGGCGGTTTTCAACGCATTCACGCATTCATTGCCTTTCAATGCGATTGTGTGTGAAGTTTGCGCTCAATTCGTATTGCATTACGAAATGCCTGTCCTTTCAATCAATGACATAAACATTTCTCGCAATTGGACTCATCCGGCAATTGACCACTTCTTCTCCAAGCAATGTTTCCCAAATCAATTGGTCAAACATTAGGCCATATTAATTAAGACTTTATAAATGTTAATTTATTTGATTTATAATTAAATAAAATTATAGACAAATATTTTCCCATAAAAATTATTTTATTTCAAATATAAAATATTAAAATCTCCCAAAAATACAATACTTTGATATCAAAAAATATCAATTAAAAAACAATTGATTTGACATAGAATTTCAATTCAATAATAAAATAGGTTTTTAATTAAATCGATTGTTAATCTCCTTTAAAGTCGAAATAATCGATTTGTTTTGAGCTGTGATTTGAATCGGTATTCGTATGGTTAGTGTCGACGGAAATGTTTCGTATCATTGAATGACTCGTATTGACCGCCAGTTTACTGCTATTCGTGTCATTAGTTTCCGAATCGAAACTATAATTCTTGAGAGTTATCTTATTCTTAGTCTTGACTTCGGTCTCGAGTTTCACGGTTTCCATAAGACTAAGTGTCGGCAAATAGCACTTCTCTTTAGAGGCCTTCACGACAACGCTTCGGTTGGGCTCGCGATCCACGGCATGGGTTTTGCAGCCGAAATGTTCGGCCAATTCGTGTATTATATGTCTGTTGTCTGAATTCATTGGCGGAAAATTCAGATTTTTGAAACTCAATTTCGATTGTTTCGATTCAATCACTAGTTTTGTCAGTTTGTCGTAAATGTCGGCCACGAATGCCGACTCACTTCTGGCGCTATTCTTAAGCAAATCCGAATACCGCGGAGGACCCGGATCTGGACTAAACGTCGCGTCTTTTATGTCCAACGCTTCGGCCAATTGTCTGTTCCGCTCGACGACAGCGCACTTGTCGTCGCATTTCAATTGAATGTTCTTAAAGTCCTTTAAATTCTTCAATATTTCTGTGATGTTAACGCTTTCGCCGTTTTTGATCCTCTGATTGGCCAACGTATTCATCGACAGTCGTATCGCGTTTTCGTCATTCACTTTAAAACACGGCATTTGTTCCGTCTTTCGGCCACAACTGCACATCACTTTCATCGAGATCTTGCACTTAGATTTGGGACACGCGTCGGGCGATGTCTTCTGGTGGCACTTGAGTCCGCACACGTGGTCGCAGTCGTCGCGAGTCTTACTGCACGGAAGCGTGCATTCGTTGCAATCACCGAAATGACAGATCATTTGGCACTCGTGTAGACCGCAGTCCAATGGCTTACCACACAAATAGCCGCACGAATAGCCACTTTCGTAGCACTGGACGGGCCGTGACTCGTGTTCTCCGTAGCAAACTTTGGGCACGAAGTAAGTACAGGGCGGACACTCCGAGTCGTCGTGACAGATGTGGTTCACCTGATGGTCGCAGCCGTGATCTCGGGAGCAGATGAGTCCGCATTCGGGCCGTTTGGTGCCGCACGCGATGGGCGGCAGTTTAGTGGCGGCGCCGCACCGGCACTGCAACTCATCCCAAGATATGTTCCAACACTGAGCGCACGAGCCGTTATGGCACGAGTCTTCGCACGCGTGGAGACCGCACGACAATTTTCGGCCACATATTTGGTCGCACTTGTGGTCGGAATCGACGCAACACTCGTTCAAACACTTGTGTCGACCGCAACCGCGCTTTTTATTGCATCGCTTTTTGCAGTTAAACGTTTTGCCCACATTTGACGCCAATTCTGTGCACTCAATGTTATCACTGTTGGCACCGCATCGACACCTGATCACTGTCTTCTGATCGCATTGGCAGACATCGCGGTGACAAACGCGGCGACATTTGTGCGGCTCTTTGTCCGGACCGCAGACCAACTCTTTGTCGCAAATGTGGTCACACGTGGCGATCGGATCCGTACAGGACGTGCGCTTAGCGCTGGCGCCCAAAGCAGACAATTGTGTTTTACCGCAACAACAATGAGTGACCACTTTTGGATCCAATGGACAGTCCGTACATTTGCCGAAATGGCATATCTGTTGGCAGAAATGTTTGCCACAGTTTAGAGTTTTGTTACACATCTCTTCACACGAGTATTCGTCGACTAAACTGTTTTCGACATTACATTCGACTTGTTTTTCGTGTTGACCGCAAAAACAATGTTGGGTTTTGACGATCGGACAGACATCGCATGCGTCCGAATGACACGCTTTCGGGCAGAAATGTTGGCCACAGTTAAGCATTTTGTTGCATATCTTATCGCAGACAACGCTCTCATCATTGGTGGCACAGTTGACAGTGATCTTTGTTTGACCGCAACCGCACTCACGAGTGACCTTTTGAGTACATGGAGGACATGAGCCCGGATGGCATAGAAGTAGGCATTTGTGTTGACAATTGTATTTGCGGTTTAAATCCACTTTTCGCTTTCGGCCACACATTTCGCCACAAGAATGAGGTGTGAGATAACGATTGAGTTCGGGTTCGCGTATTTTACCGCAGAAGCAAAAATAGCGCGAAGGGATCCGCTTGTGGTGCGCCTGACAAGCGGGACAGCGCCAACTCGTATTGTTCGGGTCGGCAGTGGTTTGAGTCTTCGCCGACTGAGAGTTGGCCCACGTTTTGACGCATTTCAGATGAAACACATTAAAGCAATGCTCACAACTCCAGACGGTGTCTCTGATCCGGATTTGATCGCAACACACCATGCATTCAAACTCTCCCTTCCGGAGCATCTCTTCCATTATCTCGCGCTGAGACTCATCGGAATCGCCGCCAATTGGCTTCGGTTTGTCATCTCTTTTATTCATGTCATGTCGTCTTCGGTTATGTTTATGGCTATTATTACTATCACTAGAATTGGTTTCTTTTGAATTGATTTTTGTCTCATTTCTGTCATAATTATTATCTCTTCGATCACTTCTATCGTAACCACTCTGTTGTTGAGCTCTACTATTATTGTACGCCTCTCTGTCTCTCCTGTTGTCGCCATTTCTGTGATTCTTCTGCGGCGAAGAGTTGTTCGCAAATCTGTCCATATGTTGATCCACTCGTTGTCTATTATTATCGTTTCGCGAACTCTTTGGTTGATTAGAAGAGTTGTTGGGATACCTATCGAAGGCCTGAGTGTTAACACGTTGTCTGTTATTATCGTCACTTCTTTGATCCCAATTTGCGGCCGCATTCGTGTCGTACGTATAACTCATGGCATCATTAGGTCTCGAGTGATGGCTCTGTGGTTGCGGTCGTCGATAGTCTTGTCTTCTTTGATGACTCTTTTGATAATTCATTGGATTATTGTTTTGATAACTATTTTGCGATTCATTTGCATAAAAATGTTGACTATTTTGTGGATAATCGACAAAATGAGTGGCATTTGATTGGCTGCCACTCGGCGTCGGCGGTGCAGCCAATGGTGGCGTCGACTGCGGATCAGACCATTCATTGTTTGGCTGATAATAATTGTTGTGATATTGAGTGGAGTTTTGGTCCAAATTATTATTACTTCTGAAACCGAAAGCGTTTCCAAAGCCGTGATCTTGTCGTCGGTTTCGGCGATAACTATGGCCTGAATTGTGGCCCGAATTGGCATTTGGTTGAGAATTAGCGCTCATTCTTCTGCCTCTGGATCTGATTGACTGATGATAATGTGTATGTAATGTATTGAGTGATCACTGGATTGAATGAATGGTGTCTTTGAAACAAAGTGTTTATGAAATGCAGATTTGAGTCCAATTGAGAGGAAATGACTGCAAAAACAACTCAAATATGTTTTCAATGAAAAGCGTTAACGAAATCGAAACGACTTTTCAATAATGACGTTATGTTTCGCTCAAAGTTTGTAATATTTGAATATGTTTTGCAACTTTTAATCATAACTTTTAAATTTAATTAAGCAATCATTTAATCTAATATTGGTTGTAAATTATAAGTTATAATACATGAATGTATATAATCTATAATACATACAGTTATAACTTATAAGCTATAATTTACACACCATTTATAGCACATAAAGCGGCGATAATTTATAAATTATTATTAATTTGTCAAGAATTTTAAATAAATAAATAATAAAATACATTTAAAATACAATTATTAAAAGTCTTTACAATTATTAAAAATCTTTATAATTATCAACAAATATACAAATAATACAAAACATTGGTTTATTAAAAACACAATTTCTTGAAATTATTTCTTTATTCACAAAACTTTCAAAAGTTGTTTCGAAGAAAGATTTTATTTCAAATTCAATTCAATTTTTAACCACAATTGTGTTCAAAATGTTTTTAGCTAAACAATTAATTTTTCCCATTCAAGAACACAGAATTGTTATTTAACAATGAATATGATACCCATTATCCACTTCCACCCCCCGAGTGAAGTATCACCACCGGATCAGTTGTATTTTTATAGATTAGTTTACATTAATTGTTTGTTATTAAATACATTATTAAATTACGAGAATTTAAAAAATCAAGTCTTGAGACATATTATAATATAAATTATTAATTGTTTTTGAGCGTGAAATTCAAATCATATTAAATCAGTACTTATTTCAAACAACTTTGTAATTAACCGTTATTTCCTTCACCTATATCTCAAAACACGGGAAGAATGCCATCAGCGGTGCATTTGGCCATTGCATGCATTCTCTTTACTCACTCACTGTTGGCCACCAATCTTAATGAGAGCGCAGAAAAGACTGGAAGTGAGTCTTGAGATTGAATTTTTTGTTGTATTTTTCAATTTTCAATCAAATTTCAGGTGAAGTGTCGAAGAATTACGACATCAGTGTCTCGATAAGAGTGCCCATCATTATTGTGGTCCTGCTTCTGGTGTTTGCGTTCATATTCTGTCTGTTATGTACTCTCCGCGACACTCCCACCGCTTTCCCAATGAGGTCTCAACCGGTAATTATCGCCAATTCCAACCGATCCGAAACAGAGACCACTCAACACCTGCCGGCTGTCGTCCAACACGTCGTTCCGCAGCTGACTGTCGCTAATCGAAGACAGTGTGTCCACCCTTTGCCTCAAACGCCCGCTCAAACATCCGATACGAGTCCTAAAGAGCCGTCAGTCCAGAGCACAAACTCTACTGATATTTCTGAGGAGAAGACACAGCGAGTGGTAATTAGTCCGATGCGCACCAGAAATCAGCGCCAAAAAGCCAGTCCTATGGCCAGACATGACCCCAATATCGCTGGTTTGGCCGCAACTGGCAATAGCGGACAGGGAATGCGGAGCCCAAGTCCTTCTCTCTCTCCTCCAGAGAACGGCCAAAACGATCAAAAGCCGCTGGAATTTGGTGCCAAAGAATTGGGCT